AATTTCTATAATATATATAGTATTTTCATAAAATTTTCATACTTTAATGATATATTCATGTGTTCGCCCCCCTTACCTTTTGATTTTGAAAACAAATATTTAGCCTTAAATAATGTAATGCATAATTAAAAATTTAAAAGAAGAAACATCTAACATAATTTACATAACTTAAGCAAAAAAAATGGAACAACACATTGTTTCAGACTTATGGTACTTGTTATATAAACAATACTAGTTTTGTAATATTTAATTATCTTTATTAGATAGTTAGTACTCGACTTTGTAAAATATCAAATGATATTAAATACGACACACACTAGTCAAACAATATTTAAATTATGTGAATTGAATCCAAAATATAGGTGGTTGTTGACATTAAATTAAATTACACTATTCATCTACTTCTAACTTTTTAAAAATAATGTATTGCATAGCAGCATAGATAATAATGTTTATTTTTTTTAGCAATATATTATGTATTATCATTTTAAAAATAATGTATTGCATAGATTATATTGCACCATATATATGAATTAGCAATATAATACGTAATATTATTTTAAAAATAATAATCTCATACATATTTGTATAATATTAAGAAAACTCCTTGTGACTCACGAACACCCTCCTAGGTAGACAAAAATTGCAACTCAAAACCAAATCTTTATTCCGTTAAAGTTTATGTGGTTAAACAAGGCAAACGTTATTTAAAAAGTATTGGTCGATGTGTACCTTTTAAACTTGTTGTCTTCAAATAATTTGATAAAATGTTATACATCCCTTCTTATTTCCAAATATTTTTTCTTTGATTTTCCATTTCTTACACTTTAATGTATCTGTACTTTTGCTAGAGCACTTCAATTATAAAATCAAACTTATCTTTCCATTGTCTAGATTTAGAATGTACTACTAATAGATTTAAAGCTTAAAAATGTCATTGTGTATGTAATAATGGAATTTTTGGAATAAAAACTAGCCGCATAGCCCTGCAGTATCGAAAACCATTCGCCCGCAACATTAGCGAAAATATTTTCACCCCGACACTAACGGAAAAAATTTGCCCCCCTTGACGCAAAATCCTGGATTTGTCCATGTTAATTGGAGAGAGTAGTCTACTTGAGTAACAAGTAAGACTTATTTTCGAATTTTGGTGAAAAAGTAGACATCCCTAAGCATATGGTAAATTATTTACGTTTTTTAGAATTTTAAAAGATCTTCTAAAGTAGATTATGTCTAATCAAAGTTAACACTTACTACGTATTCTATTTGGTGCTAGTAGAGACTATTTGGAGTAAATTGAACTATTGAAAAAAATTCTTAATGTTTTGCAAATGAAGTAATCATACGAGCTTTAGAACTTTGAACTATCTTTCAAAGAGAAAAAAACTGAAGAAAATATAGTTGATCAATTCAGACACTTAGCCTGTTTGAGATAATGTTATATATAGTCTGTTTGATAACTCACATTTTCATCTTATCGACATTGTCAAATATTTTTTTACCAAACATATAACTTTGATTTCTCGCAATGAATTGTGTAATAATAAAAATAAGTAACTTTGAAGTCGCTTTTTTGACTTATGAAATGGCTGGATTTATTGCAGAGAGACGCAATTCATGTGATTTTACATTTTTTTTCTTTATTTCATCAATAAAATACGGAGTATATTTGAATTTCTTCAGCCAATTTTCCTATAATTTATCAATTTCAAGTAGCCTATTCAACATATTTCAGTTCTACCAAACAGGTTCATATTCAATTTGTATTAACTTTTGAGATATAGTGGTCGTTTGACAACATTGTTTTTCGGCTTATCAGACTTATTAGCCAACTTTTTTGTCAAACACGTAACTTATGCTTTCGCGCACTGAATTGTGTGATAAGCAGACAAAGTAAGACAGGAGTTACTTTTTTGGCTGTATTGGCTGAAGTTACTGTAGTTGACCATTTTAGCTATTTTCACATATAATATCTTCTATATTTTATTAATAAAATATATTTTAAAAATTTTATTTCTTAAACCAGCAGAATCAGCCAATGCAACCACTTCAGCCAGAACTTCATAAATTTCAGCAGAATCAGCCGAGTTTCGTGCTACCAAACGGGCTCATAGTTTGTAAAAAGATAAGTTCAGGATTAAAACGTTTAGAAAAACTTTTCAAAAATGCGATTTTAAATATCGTTAAAACTGTGACATTAAAGAATTGATAAATATTATTTAGGTATATAGAAGCATATCAAAAGTACTTGATAATTTGCTATGCTATAAAGTACAATCGGTAGAATATGTTATGTTTGAAACGTTTTTTCAATAAGAGATAAAACATATTATAGATTTATTAATTTTGCATATAATGGAAAGTTGATTTATTAATTTAATAATCTATAATTAAGGAATTAATCAATAAGTGAAAGTTGTCAAAGTTGTCAATCTTTCTCTTTGTCTGTTCAAAAATCTTTATCACTTTCATTTTAAAGTAATGAAATTGTCCTAAATTGGAGAATTGTGTTTAAAAAACAGGAATGTTATGTTTTTATTTCCCGACAATAATTTTTTTTATCATTAAAACATGCCTCTATTCATATGATAAGTTTCAAGATCATTACATCAATCAAACGGAAAATAAATCTGACACCAACTAAACTCCAACAACTACGACTATAAACCTTATGATCAGACTTAGAGACGGTCACCCTGAAAGAGAAACACGAATCGATAACCATGTAGTGGGCTTGAGACAACCATCAATGTTCCCATAGATCCAAACATACCCAATGACATAAAGAGAAGCTAAATACTCAAACAAACTGTTATGTAAAATTTAAGACCCGTTCGGTTCCTAAGTTTTTCAGGACCCGCCCTGCCCTGAACCGTTTGGATTTTCTAAAATCATGACTCGACCCTAACCCGCCCGAACCTGTATTACCCGGCTCGACCCGCGGTTCCAATACCTGTTTGCCCACCCCTACTTGCAACTCTCCTCGTCCCGCACTCGTAGCTACATCACCCCTTGCTGCCATCTTCTTCTCTATCAAGCCCTCCTCTTCGACCTGCCTACGCCAAGCCGCCCTCTGTTGAGCACCCTCCTACTTGCCTATTAACAGAAAGAAACTGCAGCACTAGGACAGAGCACGAACTGCGATCCTATGCCGATAAGAAAACGCTGTCGCAAAGCTTAGGATACGCCCCATAAAAACGTTGTTCTTCATCCTTGACGAAAATGGAAAAACAAGCTCCAGCGGCATGTAGCCCTAGAGAGAAGAAGTTTCATTTTTTAGCCTACCCCAACTTCGTAATTCAAGTAGTTATTATAATTAATTATTTTTATTTAGATAATAAAAACATGATAGTAATATTTTAAAACGTCTTATTTCGAAAACTTTTCAAGTAATACACTTATAATTCTCTTCATTTATGTCTCCATGGACAAAGAGTAGTTTCTATTTTTCTTAATTTATAACCAACTCAAAGTTCTTCAGTGAGATGGAGATAATATAAGTTTAAAATTAAAAGTAATAAAACTAATACTTTATCCGTTCTCTAATAAATGGGAGTATAGCCTTTGACACAAGATTTACGAAGAAATTAATAGGGGTAGAATAAAAGATGTAGTGAGTTGTGTGTAAAGGAAAAAGTAGAAAAAAGAATGAAAATGTGGGAAATAGAATGAGGGTAAAGGAGTATATTTGTTGAAAAAACTTACCAAAAATAGAAAGAGAGTCAACTAATAGAAAACAACCCAAAATGGAAAGAGGGACAAGTATGGGAGAACGGAGAAGTACATCATTCAAAACTACTACCTCCGTAACTGATATATCTTCCCATGTGAAAAGTAGGTGAGATTAAGAATAGTGATAGGAGATATAAATTATTGAGGGTATGATGGGAAAATAATGAAATAGTGTGTTGGAATGAAGGATAAATCCAAAAGAAGTAGTTGTAATAGTGTATTATTTTTAAAATTATTGAGGGTATGATGGGAAGATTTTGAAATGGGAAGATATGATTGTTACAACTAAAAAAGGAAAGTGGGAAGATATGAGTGTTACGGAGGGAGTAATACTCTTGACATACTAACACATTATCCAATTGCTTTGGAATCTTATCGTCATTGACATTTAGTGTATGTATCCGTTTCTTCAAACATGGTTGTCATAAGCACATACTCCCTCCGTCCCGTTGGAATGTTCCCGGTTTGACCTACACACATATTAAGGAAATAAACTTACCAGGGGGTAAATTTTACTGTTTGGACACTGTTTGACACTGTTTGACACTGTTTTGCACTGTTTGACACTGTTTTGATGTAGGATAACTTTCCATTTAGGGAAATGAGAACTTTCCATTGGGACATCCAAAAAAGGAAAGTAGGAACATTCCAACGGGACGGAGGGAGTATTAATAAAACACTAATTTTGAATTACAAAATCAAGATAAAGAAAACATTATACTCCGTATTAGATGACTAAAATGTCCTCATTGATGTTATACAAAAAGGATGTAGCCCAACCCTGAGGGCCCCCAACACCGACCGAAATGGGAGGATGTAAATTGGACTATAATCACAATCTGACAGATAGAGATTGAGGCTCTGTCTCTGGTACTTGCAGAGATCCTATGCATTTTTAGCATAGTAATCTCTCATCGCAGTTGGCGGGATTCGAACTCGAGATCTAACACTTGTGGCACTCCGTCGCTACCAGTTGAGCTACGCTCACCGGTAAAAAAAAGAAGTAATAAAAGAAGGACAAAGTTATACGACTAATGAATTCATTAAAAATTAAAACATATCCGACTAATATCCTTACTAAAAAAATCAAATTTTTATTAAAAAAAACAATTTTTAAATTAAACTAAACATATTTAAATAAAATCCAAAACACCTGCTTTGCATTAAATAAAACCGGCCCTCAGAGTCTTCATGACTCATCAACCCCACCCCACCCCCACCTCCATCCCCATCACATATAAACGTCCAACATCAAAAATAACAAAAGCGCAACCTCCTTGCTTTTAACGTACCACCCATCCGTTTCTTGCTTCTCTTGGTCTTCTTCCATTTCCCCACCTCTCAATCGTCAACTACAAAAAACCAAACAAATAAAGACCCCCGAATTCAACACTCTCCCTTCCCGTGATCTGCTTTTTATACACATTCATGGCGGTTCAAACCTGGTTTTACTCTCAAGATCCTTTCATGGCTTCCACCAAAGATGGCGCCTTTTCATCCCAAGGCCTTCTGCAACAAATACCCGAATCTCGCTCCTCCAACCCCTTCCCTCCTCCTTTCTCTTCTCATCTCGAAAAACAGAGCCTGGAAATGGATCTTTTTCTTCAATTCGAGGTAAATTGGAACCCCTTCCCATAACTAATCTATCCATTTGTTTTTGTTTTGAAAAAAAAAACGTATATATACCCAATACCCATAGCCCATAGAAGTATTTTTAATCTTTATTTATTACCCTGAAACAGAACCAGAAATTGAGGGAGATGGTAGTGGAAGAACAGAGGAGACAGCAAAGGGCTCTGCTTCGGTGCTATGAAGCAAAAGCCGCGGCCTTGATGAGACAGAAAGATTTAGAAATAGCAATGGCGAAGAACAAAAACAGAGAGCTTCAGGATTTGCTGATAGGGGCGGAGGTGGAGGCTAAGGTGTGGGAGAGAAAGGCTGCAGAGAACGAAGCCATTGCCACAGAGCTAAACAACCGGCTGAAACAAGTCATCATGGCGGAGAGAGAGTCAGAACAGTCCTTCTGCGGCGGCGGTGGCGGCGGCGTGTCGACGTCAGCGGTATCAGAAGGGATGGGGTGTAAGATGTGTCAATCGAGAAGGGTGATGAGTGTGGTGTTTCTTCCATGTAGACATCTCTGTTGCTGCAAGTCATGTGATGTTTTTCTAGAGCTTTGTCCTGTCTGTGCTGCATTGAAGGAAGATAGCTTAGAGGTCTTCCTAGCCTAGCTAGTAGTTGTAGCATAGTGGTGGAAGAAGATAAAAGGGAGAGGGTAATAATGATGGTGATGGTGAATAGTGAATTGGGAAAGCAAAAAATCTTTGGGAAGTTTGTCAATTTGTTTTTGTGGCCAATTGATGTAGCAATTTTTTTGTTCATACAAAGGCTATTTCGTTGGCATTTTTTGCTTGTGATCGATGATGAAAAAAGAATGTTTTGTATGAAGATAATATCTTGTGTCAAAGTAATATTGTTGTTGTTAGACATAATCTACACAATTTTTCCTAATAAAATAACAAAAAAATCTATTTTGTATACCCCGACTAAGTAAAAAGCCAAATTTTTACAAGCAAAACGCCGCAAAAAACAGTGTCTTGACTGAAACAATGAATAACAAACGGAGCCCGTGTATATAATCGTTTTTATTTGTGAAGAAACAATGTTTTTAATTGTTACAAAGTGAATTGTTCACATTTTTAAAAAGAAAAAACTTGTTTGTGTACGGCATAGTGTTAGTGTGTAGATGAAGTATTTTTGTGCGTAAATTTATACTCCCTCAATTTTACTTAACATTATACTCTCTCCGTCCCGGACACAAGTTCTCATTTTTCTTATTTGGATGTTGCAAAACAAACTTTCAATTTCCCTAAATAGAAAATTATCCTACATCATAATAGTGCAAAACAGTGCCAAACAATGTCGAAACAATGTCAAACAGTGTCGAAACAGTGCCAAACAGTAAAGTTTACCTCTCAGTAACTTTATTTCCTTAAAATGTGTGAAAGTCAACCCGGGAACTTGTTCCCGGGATGAAGGGAGTAATCGAATCCTCAAAGATAAACTTTAAATAACAATATGTAAATTTTCTTCATATGGATACAAAAAGTTATGTGCAATTAAGAAATCAAAATATAAATTTCAGTAAGAAAATATGCACTACATTTATATTGAGATATACGGACTCCAGAGTACGGAGTACTACACATGAAAATATCATTAATTCATTATAACAAAAAATTTGCAACTACATGCCAGAATCAGATTGTGCATAGAAACAGTTCCTACTATAATGCTAAGAGCCATATTGAGCACACCCCACATATTAACACATATTGAGCTATAACAAGTTCCTCATCGCATTTCACACATAAAAATAAATTCATTGGAGATAAATTTTACTGTTGACATTGTTTGGACACTTTTTGACATTGTTTTGCACTGTTGACAATGTTTTGATGTAGATAATTTACTAAATAAGGAAAGAGAAACTTAATTCGGGGACTGCCCAAAAAGTAAAGAAGGAACTTGTTTCAGGGACGGAGAGACTATTAAGGAGTAGTGTATTATTACTCGTCATTATCAAATACTCCCCCATCCCGGAAAATTCTTTCTGATTTAACTTGGATCAGAGTTAAAGAAAATGAGAATAAAGTGTAAATGTATGGTTGTGTTTGAGTATGAAAAAGATAAACGAATTGAATGATAGTCATACAAACTTTTTCAAAAAAAGAAATGAGAAATTTCTTTTGGAACATCCCAAAAAGGTGTGTGAAAAGATTTTTTTGGGACGGAGGTAGTACTTTCTTTTCAAATTGTTTTGCAGATTTAGCATTTTTATCAAATAATGGTAAAGTTAAATTCTCCACATTAATAATAGTTCAATTTTAATAGTTAAAATGTAAACATATTCAAAACTACTTAAAAGCTCTATGAAATTGCAGAATTCAAATTAAAATTTAATTAAGAATTAATATATTAGGTAGGTGAAGAAAATGAGAAATCAAATGGTAACAAGGGAGTGAAATAATATTGACCACTAAAAACTCACAAAGCTGAGGGAAGGTATATAACAATGCTTAGTGTAAACATTGACATACACTTTGTTTACGCACATTAAAAGGATCATATTTTACAAATAACTTCTATATTGCTACATGAGTCGTTCTTAGTGTATCCCATTTGTACACCTCTAGGATTTTTCTTGCTACAGAGAACTACCACATGTCCATACAAGCGCACATGTGTTTACGCGAACACATGACCACTTTTATGCGTAGTACATTATAGTTTCCTGTGTAAGCAAATTGTAATTTTTCAAATAGATCGTCTTCATAAAAACACAAGTTATCTCTTCTACCGCAAATCGAATGCCTATTCACTTACAATTGTTACGTAGTACTCCGTATATATCTAAATACTTTACAATTTCTCATATAATCCCTATATTTATTCACACATAAAACCAATTGTTTGTGATACAGTTTGACATTAAGGGGTGTTTGGATCTCATTCTTAAAACTGATTCCGCTCCTTCAGGGAGCAGAATCAGAAGATGGAGTGTTTGGGTGAAAGTGCAAAAGTGATTCTGGAACTCAAATTTACTCCTAGAATCAGTTTTTTTAGAAGTTGAGGGTGACCAGCTTCTGAAAACTGATTCTGATTCTGCTCTTGGTTTAAAAAAGAAGCAGAAACAGAATCAGTTCCAAACACTCCCTAAAAAGGATGACAAATCCGCACGAGTAGCTTAACAATGGTTGAGTGAGGTTGTTGGATTAAGGTCTTAGGTTCAATTTCCAACACAACAATGTGAAATTTTCGTTCGATATGGTGGCTCATTGTACACATCAACCCCTGAACTATCGTGATTTACTTCTCCACCATTCTGTCGAATTGGAACGAGCGATTCCACCTTTTGAATTAAAAAGGATGACAACTAGATCAATTGTGAGTGCCACCCAGCAATTGTACATAAAAAGATTATAAGGTGAGTTGAATTGGTGACCCAACTTAGAGTAGATGCCTATAAAAGTGTAAACTAATACTAGTACCTACAAATGTCATTTTTCAAACAAAAAAATAATCTTTTTCTAAAGTGGTAGAAATTGATTGTTCCAAGCATTACCCTCTTATTTTTTCTGAGGGTTTGGTCTGTGCCGTCAGATGTGTAAACATTGAAGACCACCTCAGTAGAATCAATTCCCAAAATGCAGTTAATGTAGGAAGTAGCAAGTACTTATGGCATGAGTGGAAGAATCTTTCTACTTTTTGGGTTAAAAAGTTGGCTGTCGCGCCCTTCATTGCAGTGTGAATCAAGTCCTTTGATCTTTTTACACAATCTTGTTACTGTATGGGACTGCCATCTAGCCCTGCAACCACAGTTTCATTTATTTACTGTGGTCAACACAACATTGCTGCAAGATTGGCCATTCACATTAAAAAGGAAATAAAAGTAGAAAATGGGTAAAACTCGAAAAGGTACCTTTCCCAATCTGCACACTTAATACAGTCTTTTTTTTTGTATAAATAAATAAATGTACTGGCTGTTTTGTGGAGTTGTTAGCAGCGTACGATTCCAGGTACATATTGGCAAGTGAGGATATATTTACATTGATGAATTGATGGTTTTGTTTGTACTGATCCCATCTGTCAATGCAATTTGCCAATATAACTTTCATTGCTGCCAAAGTAAAGAAATTACCCCGTACAAATAATACAGTACCTAAAAAGATTTTACGTAGTACCTCCGCCCCTAAGTTTGGCACAAAGGAGCGTGATGTTGTTTTTAAGAAAAAGTGTAATTGTGTAGTTGGTATTAAATTGATAAAGGATGTTTTCTTTTTGACTGTTTTCAGTCCCAGACCAGACCAGACCAGACTTAAACAGACCAGACCAGACCAGACTTAAACAGACCAGACCAGACCAGACCAGACTTAAACAGACCAGACCAGACCAGACCAGACTTCCGTAGTTATAAAATACACAGAGACCAGACGTTTACCAGACCAGACCAGTTCAGACCAGACCAGACTTAAACAGACCAGACCAGACCAGACCAGACTTAAACAGACCAGACCAGACCAGACCAGCAAATTTCAGTCCAAAAGAAAACATCCAAAGTGTAAATAAAGTAAGAATGAATTCTAACCACTCAAATATTACCTAATATGGTATGAGACAAACTTAATGGGACGAACGAAAAAGGTAAAACGGGACAAAGTTAGAGGGACAGAAGGAGTAGTATTTTATACGGAGTACGTGCTATTGGGGCCTACTCTCATACGGGCCTCCCAAAATTTAGTACTCCCTCCGTCCCTCAAAGTTTGCCATAGTTTGACTTCACAGATATTAAGAAAATGAATTTGACTTCACACTGCAGCGACACTATTTGACACTGTAACGATACTGTTTGACACTGTAGCGACACTGTTTGACACTGTTTTGGACTGCTTGATAAAGATTTGTTTGCCAAATAAGAAAAGAAAAAAGTACGACAAACATTTTGTGACTTCCATTTCGAAAAAGTAGGACAAACATTGAGGGACGAAGAGAGTATGTAGTACGGATTAGTAATTATATGTTGATTTTTTAGATGTTATGGATTATTGTGATTCAAAAAGGTGATGACTTTTAGATTGTCTAATTTATACATTTCAAACATTATACTCCGTAAAAGTTATATTTCACTGAACTATTCAGTTTATTTGTATTACATTGTTACATTTTGTATTCTTTCCTGTTTTACGGGGCCTCAATTCGCCTTTTGAAATCGGGGCTTCCAAATTCATTAGACGACCTTGATTATTAAGAAAAATGGATTTATGTGATTAAATATTGAATTGATAAAGTATGAATAAAGTAAAAATGATTTAGAGACATACAAACTTTACTAAACTTGGTATGAGACAATCTTATTGAAATTTTGCGAAAAGGTGAAATAAGAAAATGTTAGGGGACATAGATAATAATAAAGAAAGAAAAACAAGCAAAGGGTCATATGCAAAATATCATTATCAGAACTAGTACAGTAGCCGTTCGGTTAGTGGAGATGTGATTACTTTCTTTTTAAGGAAATTTTAAAAAAAGGAAACATAAAGTTTTGAAATTAAAAAGAGTTATGGATAAGGTCTTACACAACCTTTGAAACAAGAAAGTGTAAAGCCCCCGGAATAGGCCAACACGAGCGAAACAGAAAGAGGCCGGTCTCTCGCGGCGCCTATATCTCCTTTTGAAGAATTCTTTTCTTTAACCTCTAACCTCCTTTAGTAGACATGGACACAATCACTTCCCCACCTCTAACGTCAAAGGTAACTTGAAAAATGGAGTGAAGATTAATAAGTGAAAGATTATGAGTGGGATTTGATAATAATGTTCATTCTTGTAATTATGGACACAATATCTCCTTGTAATTATTCATACATTGTGTTTCTAATAATAATATACTAATAATAATAATAATAATAATAATAATATAGTAATAATATT